AAAATACAGTTTCGTTCTTATGGATTAATTCCTGGGGTAAACATTCATGTTACCTTAAATTACTTAACTGTTGTAAATCTGAATGTGTCAGTCTTCACCAAATATGTAAATGTCTACCACAACCTCACTGAAGTAGCTGCTAAATTGAGCCTTTGATAATCAGTACTATTCTTTTCAGCTTCTGCTTTCCTATAGCTCCTCCATTCACTTTCCTGGTGTACTCCCATCGCCTTCCTGCCTCTTCCTAATGCCTTGATGCACTATTAGGACTTCTGCTTCCTGCTTGCTGATGCAGTGATTCACCACCTGGTCTATCTCTGACTTACAAGTGTGTTAGATAGCCCACAGTCAAGGAGATGAGGCAGTGAAAAAGACTGCCAGGGGAAATTAAATAGACTTGGAATTTTTCCATCTTTAGAAAACAGTGCAAAGTCTCTTCATCCCCAAAAAACTCATTAAACCCATTAGGAACTTTGCAATTAAGAAGTGATTTTACACAGAAGGTACAAGATCCAAAGAAAGGATAGGTAGATAGAGGGAGATGCATGGACAGGAGATTTTGAAGACCAAGGCATCTGGCAGACAGAAGAAAAATTACCAAAGATTTTTGTAAATATTCCTGGTACAAATACAAATACAAATGTGGTGAAACTTATACTTTTGCAATGAAACCAGCCATTAAACACCTGTGCTCTCAATTTTTTTACTGGAAATAACTAGGTTTTCTTTTCTTCTATTCTCTATTTTTTCCCAACTGGTGTAGGTATCAGTGCAAATTATTTCTATTCTCTTGAATTTTGTGGAACTATATTATTTCAATAACCAGCTAAGTGTGAGCCTGTCTGCCCCTTTTGGATGGCTAGAAAAGAATAAGGGGGCTGTTTGCTGATAAGATTAAACATGAGCCATATTTTCTAGCAAAAGTCATAAGGGAGAATACATGTTTCCCTGTGTGGCTATATGTCCATTATTTCTTTGGCCAGCAAGTGGCATGTCAGTCTTTGTAAAGGTGCTTCTGCCAGTGCATGATGTTGTCATGAGATTTTACCACAGGAAAAAGAAAGGCTAATTAGCATCCTCTAGAAATTTCTGGCATGCACACACATACAAACCAACTTTGACAAAATGTTGTACAATCTACTTTTGGATCAAAGGCTTTACTAATAAGGCTTTAACTTCAAGAGTACCAGCACTCTATTTTCATTCCTACCACAAACTTACGCTTTATTTTGTCATTCTTGTTAAGCATTAGGCTGTGACAAGAAGGTACAGCATCCAGCAGAGCTTGGGTTTGTTTCCTCTCAAAATTAATATTTAGAACTTTATTAAGAAGAGGGACTGGGTTTTTCTTGTTAGCTTTGTAATTTTGATTGACAGCTGGGGTGACCTCAGCACCTGCATGCATATCTCCTGCTTTGCATCAGTACACTGAAGTGATGGAAGTGCACATTAAAATTCAGTCATTTGGAGTTCCTCCCTCTTCTCCATACACCAAATACTACCTGTATATATGCTCTCTGCCTCCCACAGTGAGATAAAGAGGCTTAATCTTCTCCTGGGCTCTGCATGATCTTCTTTTATCTCCTTAGCTGTGTTCCACATAATGAAAGTGACATCACAGCGTGGCTTTTTGCCTCTTTCCACATTACTTTCAAATTAATTAACGTCCTAAGTTTAGAATGTTTAGAAGGATTTTAATTTTTACTTGGCAATTTTAGTTTGCATAAATAATTTTTATCTTTTTCTTGGGATGTATATTTTTAGATCAGTGACCTTTTGGATGTATGATTCATGCTGATTTAATTTTTCCAGCTGGTACATTTTCACTTAAGCTGATACAAATGCGGTGAAACTGATACTTTTGCAATGAAACCAGCCATTACACACCTGTGCTCTCAATTTTTTATTGGAAATAAATAGATTTTCTTTTCTTCTATTCTCTATTTTTTCCCAACATGTCTGTAATAACCTTTTAGGAAAAAAAAACTTTAAAAAAAGCCCAACACCTGTACACTAATGACACCTGTCACAGACCATGAACTATTCCAAATCAGATAACACTATTTATCATGAAACTATTAAAAGGCAAGCACACCTTCTATTTATTTTCTCCATCCATCAGACTGAAATAAGCTCTGCAAGAAGGATTTTGTGATTCTCTGGGTTGTAATCTACAAACATTTGGTTCTTAGACCCACTCTCAAGAATAGTTATAAGCATGTTCATCAGCAGCTGAGCATTCTAAAAAAATGTCATTTGTCCCCCAAGGAGCAGACCTGAACTTTTAATGGGTTTCTTTCACTGAGGTTGTACATAGAGTGTGGGAGCAAAGACCATTTACATGCTTACACAACCAGGCACGTGTCCTTTCTGCATTCTTATTTTGCCATGAGAAAAAAAGTCACCTCACCATCTCCAGCCCTAGTCCTCTCCCTGAAATTCTCCTCTTCACCTACAAAACCCACACAGACACACAGACTCACTCACAGTTAGAGAATTTGATTTACCCTTAACCTTTGGAGGAGGGACAGGCTTCACTTTCATATTACTTCTATACTCAGAAAGGCACCTCTCTACTCCTACATTTTCTGCATTAAAGAGAGAATTATAAATAGTAGACTGAAAAAAAAAAGTAAGGAAAGCAGTAAAGCTGTAACAGGACATGAAAATGAAGGCCTTGGGAAAAAAACCTGGGACCTCCTGGTTCAAGTACAAAGGCAACATCAAACTTCACAATCCTATTATGTGCAAAATGTTTGGAGAGAAAAGCAGATGAGAAAATTTTTAAACTTTGCCCCTCATTGCCTTCTTATTGCGATCTGCAGCAGGTAGCAAAATCCATAAGGAAGCAGCAAGCCAAGGTGCCAGACAAAAAAAGGCACATATATTGTTGATATAAACAGATCTTCGAAACTGGCACGTAAATGTGCTTTAAACATTTCTTTTGGCAATTATATTAACAGTATTCTATATACTGGATTTTTTTTTAATGTTCTCTCAAATGAGTGCAATGTTCTTAATGGTTTTGTGTTTCTCATAAACTGTTACTGTCTGACATACTTAGGTTTGTCCATTACTTATTCTATGTGACCCATAAACCCAAAGAGACAATTAAAGAACAGACACCTATTGCAGCCATGACATAAATTGTGTATCTTTTTGGAAGACAATGGTATTAAATAGTTTTACTATAAAGAGTTCCAGATGTTGAGCTCATGAGCCTAATTGAGTCTAAATGCACAAAGAAATGTTGATATGATTTTCTGTGAAATGCTAGTAGGAAAGCTTAAAGAGCTGCTTATATAAATCAAAAAGTAATCAGGAAATACTGTGTAAATGCAACCAAAGAGATCAGCTGGCCATTATTTGGTAGAACATTATTATTTGTTGTCAGTTGGTGAAATATTTCTGGAAATGTTACACACTTGCTCAAATTTTATATGTATTATCAGGATAATGTTGATTCTGGAAGTATTTAATTACTTGCTAATACTTCTCCCATTAGCTACAGTTCCAGAGAAAATATAGATGCATTTTAGGGGAGTAGAATCTGTCCCCTCGTATTTCAGTCTCCACTCACATGCTACAAATAATGAGCATCCAAGCATGAATAGTTTTCTACAATCTGAATTTTTCTGAAAAAATTATTCAACAAATATTTATGAATAATAATTACACATGAAGAAAACAGAATTAGTTTGCACATACTTACACACAAAAAAGAACTACACTTTCAAAAAGCTATTGGGCCAGACTTCCCTGTCATTCTTGCTTATGTCAGTGCTCATTTCTTCCACAGATTTTCTGCTCATATCTGTGGATCACCTTCAAAATGAACAGATAGCAGAAATGGCTTTAATTTTTTTTGTTGTAGCACTTCTTTCTGACTTCGGCTTTGAGCTCACACGACTCTGCATCACAAAAAGCTTTAATAGAACCAATGTCATCATATTAATGCAAAATCAAAGCAGGTAGCATAATACAATAATTTAGATTAGAAGAGACTTCCAGAGGTCATATAGTCCAAACACTTGCTCAAACCAGAATCCAGCTTCAGCATTAGGTCAGGCTGATGTTAGATCAGGTCAAAATAGAAAATTACCTGCTGACCACAATCTTGATTGTCCTCTCATACTATAAACTTATATTAATTACTAAAGACAATTCTATTTAAAGCAGGTAAGAGTGTTTATTTGAAAGATACTAGGTTTTGCAGCTTGCTTTTATCGCCTTTGTTATCCTGATTAATCATTAGTCCTTCTCAGAGCAGAAATTATATTTAACCTTGGTTCTCAACTTTAACACAAAAAAAACCCACAAAGTGTGACTGCTGAATGTGCTCAAGAGGGCCTCAGTATGGACAAGCACAAGCAGCTTAACAGGAGCATTGCCTAAGGCAAGAAGAGGGCTGAAAGCTTAGAGTAAATACTAGGGCAATGTCTTGGACTCTTAACACTGAGCTTTCAGACTCAATGTTCTTTAAAAATACCAGGAGTAAAATGAAAGTAAAATGTAGGAGTGGAATGAAAATAAAAATAAGCAGAGATCCTCACTGTGTAAATGTAGCATTGTAATAGTAGTAGCAGCCTGACACCCGTCCTGATCAGAGCTTTATTTGGTGTATAACTAATAAGAAAGATGGAACTCTAGAAATTATTGAACTACAGTAAACCACATCAGCTAATAATGAAGTGATCACAACATTAGTATGACCCAGAATGATTGTTGATGAAACAGGTAACATGAAAAACTTTCTAATATAACATTTTTAAGGTGGTAATACGAACACCAGATACTTTATATTTGCATTGATATTCTCAGTTTATATGCCTTTTATTAACTGAAATAATTGATGCTTTGTGAGTTATAAGTGAGAATATTTTAATTTCATAAATCAGAATCTCTCCCACAAAATCTAAGACGGAGACTGAATTCTGCTGAGCTAGATCATTCCAAATCAATTAATCAGTGGCCCTACAATTAATGACTCTAATTAACAGATTAGGCGATTGTTTGCTGCGCACTGGGGAAAAGGGCTCTGCAAGGTTGTGAAGATCCCCAGCACCGATGGACAGGAGGAGGAGAAAGAGTTTGAGGTTAGTATTTGAGGAATAGTCTCCCCAGGCTGCTCTGTGGCTACTACAGCAACACATTACTGATTGCTATTGCTTAATTGCAAATGGATCGATAACAGACTGTGTTTGTAAATGATAGCATTTGGCTCTGGGAAAAAAAATTGGGGTCAGATGACAAGCTTCTTGTTCACATGAAGTTTCAAAGATTGTTTCACCAGAAGGAATGAGAGAGTAAAGCTAAATCCTGCATCTTTAAATCTCTGGTGTTGGGAGTACGCAAAATGTTTGCATGTTTACAGCATGCAAAATATATATGCTAACAGCAGGAGAGTTTCCAGTGGTTGACAATAAAATATCAGCATTTGTCATTACTGTGATTTAGTGATTTGCTTCTGATCAGGGATTAGAAATGCTCAGCTAGGATCTCACAGCCATTAGAGCTTCATCTTCCTGCATTCTATGTGAGATAGTTGAGATGCTATTATTCTTGTATGAAAGCCAAACACATAAGGACAGATCACAGCTGAGGAAAATAAATATGCAATTTCCTATATTTGGAGTAAATAGAGGAATTTCTATCGGGAAAGAGGAACATTTTTTTTTTCTCATGTTAATATGCAATCTTATATTGCAGTTCTGTTTGCGGCCACATTAAAATAAAATCCCTTTATAGGAAGGGATTCAAACAGAATTCAAACAGATTTGAAAAAGAAAGGCGTTGATTTTTGTGTCCTAAGTTTTCAGTCCTATCTGGGGTCTCTGATTTCTGTTTGCAACCAGTTTGCGTGAAAACTGTTGAAACTCAACTATGCATTTTTATCATTGACATAGTAAAATTAACTTCCTGAGATAGCAGAAAATTAATGGGAAATGTGCCTAAATCACTGTAGGTTAAATAATAATTTTAAGGACTAAACTTCCCCTTGTTTTCTGTGGATGGTCAGCAAGAAGTGGTCCTGCTCTCCTAAACCTTGCGTTGTGGCTTCCTCCACTCCTAGTACAAGCAGACTCTGCGTCAATAGCAACATTCAAAGGACTGGTGAGGAGATGTAGGACAAGAGTCACTCCATAGATCAGTAGCAGAAGAATCCACTGAGGGCTGTTAAATACAAGTAGAAAGCTCTTAAGTGTAACTCAAGAACCTTCTGAGCTACACACAGCCATAGGGTGAGAAAACTTCCTGAGGAAAAACCACTCTGTGCTTGCTGTGTTCTTTTGGTGACTGAGACAGGATGCTGAAGTAGATGGACATTTGCTATAATCTGATATTCATACAATTTTATTACATCAACTGCACTAAATGACATGGGGGGTGGTGATGAGTGTGCAAGGGAAATACTAGAATTTACAAGAGTACCCAAATCTCAACTGAAGTCCCTTGTCCTTTACCACACACATGGGTACGCTGTAAAGACCAAAACTGAAAATCAGTCCAAGATCCAATATTCAGTTTTGCAAGTATAAATAGAATAGAATTAAAGAAATCTCATATTGTTAAAGGGATAGAACAAGGGATTCAATATCTCACACTCTAAATCCAGAAAGACAGTAGTTCTGCCTGTAAGGGTGTTTTTAGAGACTGATGTGTTTATTCCTTCCAAGCCCAGCATGTATTTCTGGAGAAGGACACCTGGAGAGAAATATAGATTATAAATATACTGCGTGGTGATTACCTTGTGTGACAGGTAGACAAAAAGTCAATTACCAAAAATGTTTACCTTTTAGATCTAAGAAGAGGTTTTTGTCTGTGTTTCATTAATGGAAGAGCTGGAAAGCATGTTGAGGGATTTGATTTTAAAAACAAAATATAAGTTAAAAACTTGTCATGAATTTGGAAAGGCAGCAGCATCTAGTCAAATGTCTCTGATTAATTCTACAAAGGCATGACCTCTTTAACCTCTCTCTGAAGTTCAGTTCCCAGCAGAAAAGCAAAGCCTCATGGCAAAACCTTCATAAGAAAAAACTCTTGGGAAGGATATGTCTGGCCGAAAGACCTAAAGAAGGTGTGGAAGAACAAGGCACCAGTGGAAATAGTTGTTTGTAAAGGCAAATGCTCTGTTCTTAGGTTCACATGATCTCAGCAGTACACTCTGACATCCTCTGCTGTAGGAGCAGATGCCTAAACTTGCCAAAAGGCAGTGAGATTTGCCAATTACTAAGAACAGTCTTATAATTTAATGCAGGTATAATTCCTGTGCATCAGCTGTACCTTGTCTTCTGGAAGGAATCCAGTTCTGATCCACAGTCCCTATTTAAAACAGAAAACACTGAAGGAATTATGGCTTGCATAAACGTGGTTTCTCTGTGGACCACAGACAATTACCAGTAATGTTATAGTCAGCAGAGAGAATGTACCTGTGAGTATCTTCCTTTATTACAGATGATTTGAAAAGTCGCTGAAAAGATCCCTCTGTTTTCAGTGCTCACCACTTTTAAAACTTCATTTTCTTAAGAAAGCCTTTGCTAAGTCTCACAGAAAAATGACAAAACGCTGTTCAACGCTTAGAGGTTTCTTCCAGTAACTGGGATCTCTGCTTTCTGGGAATAACTTTGGAAACACTCTATGGTCTCAGTTAATGAACAAAGGAATGTTTGCTTAGACCCTGGGTATGTTTTTATAGCAGTTGTATAACACTAAGCGGTCCCTTTCAAGTGCAGGACCAGGGTTTTACAATTTAGTTCCTTTCTTGATCTGATTACCTTCTGTAACCTAGAAAACAAAAGTTTTATACTTTATTCAAATACTTCATCACAGATGCTGGCAGAATGTTTACCTAAGCATTTGTCATAAAATTAAGGATAGCAGAATCCACATAATTTAAACTTGATACTCCTCAGCCTATGACAGCGGTTATGTCTGCCAAAAACTTGAATCTTAGAACAGTCCTCCTTCATAGGCTGTACATTTCATCATCGCCTCAATATAACTTTAGAGACTGCAGACATCACAAGAACCTTTAGCACATCATTATATCTTTTCTCACTCCATTAAAAGAAAGGAGAAAGAATCTGGATATCTGAAGCCCGGTTTCTAAGTACAAATCTCCACCCTTCAAAAATATATTCTACCACTGCAACTCTTTTTAAGTAAGTGAGAGTTACAAAGTAATAAAGGGTAGAGGAGAAAAATTAAATTAAAGGGGATTTAAGTACTACCTCTGAGTTCAACACACTTGGATGATTCCCCATGGAACATGTTATGTTTTTTGTCCCATGTGAAAGGAAGCCAAAGCTAATTATAGAACACAGCACTGAGAAAGCAAATAAATCAAGCTTTGCACTGCTGAATTCTCACATCTGCAAATTAACAACTATGGGTCTGTTAGTGTAGACTCTTCTGTTACAACAAACCAATACCAAATGTAAGTATAGTTGCTTATCTTAGGGTAAGATGATATAATCCAAAAGGAAATGTCCACTTCACAGGAATTCACAGCCATGGCCTAAATCACCACACATAGACGTGTGCATCAGAGGGAGAGCATTGGCTCAGTACACACCGCTGCAAAAGCCCATTCACTGTACCTGTGTCAAACCTGTGTATACAGCATACGATTCAGCACTGGAAATACAATCCCCAATACTGAGGCAATACATATTATTATAAGACAGAGGGAAACACATGCAAACAGTCTTCCAAACAGAAACTTCCCCAGAAGATAACACTACAATTTCCTTGTAACTGAAACTGTGAAAAAAGCCTATACACCCAAGAACCTGTAGCATAGAAATGGTGCAGTCACCTCCATATGAGCAAGCCAGGTTGGTTAGCAGACTATTTGAAGATTCAAATCGATAGATTAGTTTATGCAATCACATTGGCCACCAGCTTGCATGGTTCATCCACTTGGAAAAATTGGTGTCAGATTTTTTTCTGTTTGCCAGCAGTAAGCATTTTCAGGCAGAAATGGAAAAATGCTACATCAAGAAACATCCAAATCTGTGTGGTGACTGGTTTTGAGGCTAAGTACTGTACCATGCAGTGATGTTCATTGTAGGATTCTGCTGCAAGGCTCATCTTCCCTAATTTAAAAGGCAGGTAATATTTATTTGCTGCTAATTCACTTGACTGCTCATAAGAATCATTCATTAGTGGCAACATCACACTTTGAACATGTGAAATCCTCTATAATGTCACCAGAACTGTTGTTACAGGGAGAGAAAGGCATCACCCAAAAATATAATCTCAACGGTTACCTTTTCTCTCTCCACTTTGAAGAACTGGAGCTCACACGTAACTATAAATTTCTCTGTTTTGTTGTTTAGCTTTGTTTCTGTCTACTTGGTTTTTTATCTGTCCAGAATAAATAGGGTGGCATCATAACCTTGAAGGATGATTCTCATTACAAGACATTGCAGAATTACTTCAGGTTTTCTCCAACGAATGCATTTAGCCCCAAACGAAAAGAAATAAGCACAACCACCCCACCCCGCCACTCGCAATCATACTCAGGCGCTTTACTCCATTAATTTAAAAGTCTAAATACCTTTCTGGATATTTTTTTCCTACGCATTGCATTTGACTGCAACACAGGATAGCTTTCTCTAGCCAACTAGCTTCTAGTATAGCAGAGGTCAGCTGCTAAAAACATATGCAGAGCGATCAGCAGGATTTGCACAACACGTAGGAAGGTCTCTGCAGTCCCGATTTCATCAGTCTTTTTATCCGTATTAGGCAAGATTAAAGCTAACTAAGACAGCTAGCAGAGGAGGTGCTGAATTGTGTGAGGGCACCATTTGACTCGGGAGCGCCTTTCTGTGCTCAGTTAGCAACGTTGCTGTGCTAAATCCCAACCTGGCTAAAGCCCTTCATTACACAGCACTAAGCCACAGATAAAAGATGGGCACTCAAGACCTGAAGAGCATGTTCCTACTGAGATAATACATTAGTGAAGAATTAGAAGAACCCTCAGCAATGCCCAAGCTCTGCCACTTCACAGATCATTATAGTCCTGCTGTTAAAACCAGTGGTGCAGAATTAGGCCACCACTGAACACTTTAAATATCTCAAATGCACAGAT